TCTATGTCCTAGACCTCAACTTCGCTATAAGGCTATAGTGAAGATTTTAAGAGATTTGATTAGCCAATTCGCTATAACAATAGTATTTTTATTATATTTGTTTAAAAAATTTGTTATATTAAGAGTTCGCTATATCAAGAGTTGACTGTAATAATAATCATGATTATCTCTGGAGTATGGCAGGATAATTGGTTGGTCTGGACTAGTAAGTTTTTTAACTTGCATAGACATTTTAGGCAGTTCAATTTATTTTTTTTACTTTTTGTACCTGATTTTCAGGATTTTCATATATTAACCTACTGGATTTGAATTTTTCATAATAAATATAAGCATTATCACGTCTTTAAAAAAAATAATTACAAAAATATAAAATTTAGTTTATTGAATTCATCACATTAAGACCTATTAAATAGTAATATTTTTATATTTCTAAGATTGATAGATAGCAAGATATATGAGTTTAAAATTTAATTTTTTTAATAATAATTTATTATTTATTTATCTTTAAAAAATCACTAGTTAATTACATTTTTCTTTTATTTTTACTTAGAAAACATCATAAAATATATTATAAAAGTATTAATTTTTTTAAAAATTCATTTTAAAATATTTAAAATAATTAAAAATGATTGTAATTAATAAAAAAATTGCTTGCAAATTTGTAGGCAAATTAATTAAAGGGATAAAATTTTATTAATTTTAATTTTACTTAAAAAATTTATAGAATCTGATTTTTTTAGATTATAACTCATATTATGAATTAATTTTACTAGTAATTTTTTATATAATAAAATTATTATTTTCTAATTATTATTATATAAATAATTGTATAAAACTGTTCCGAGATCTTAGCAACTAAAAATAAGGGTAACTAATTATGTAACTATAGATTCAGGATCAGATGGATTTTGAATAGGATTTTCCACAACATATAGTTATAAGTAAAAATATCGATATAAGTTAGGAAGATGGAGCAAAAAAATCAAATCGAAAATCTTGTCATACATTTGAAGTTGTAACGATACACCAATATTTATTTGAATTGCCCAACAAATCAAATGTATGGCGTTTTATATAGTAAATAGTCCTTATATCTAATCAAAATATTAGCCATCAGTTGTATAATCTTTTCTCTTTACTCTGAAAAAAATGGAAGCTTTATTCTTTAACATAAATGATGGTTACTTGGAAGGTATTGTGAGAGGATATAAGAGTGGTATACTCACTTCAAATCACTACATTAACTTGACGCAATGCGAAACTCTTGACGGTTAGTAATGGAGCTTATATTTGGGATATAACATTGTCGGGATGATCTTTTAAAAATAATTTAATAACATTGACCAAATAATATAGATCTAAAGCTTCAGTTAAGTGCTACGGATTATGGTAACTTTTTAGCTAATGAGCCTTCCCCCATTGCTACTTCAACTATACATGAAAAAGCGACACAGAAATTAGTCGATGAATTTAAGTACGTTCGTGCCAACGCTGTGGAGCCATTGGCCAGATTTCTTGATTATTTAACGTAAGCTTTTTTAATACAACCCCTAAATTCTTTTTTTTTTATTTATTTTAGGATTTAATTAATCTTATTTTATTTTATTTTTAGTTATGCCTATATGATTGATAATGTAATACTTCTTATAACAGGCACTTTGCATGAACGTGATACTCATGAATTGCTTGAGCGATGTCATCCACTTGGGGTGTTTGATTCTATGCCGGCATTGTGTGTTGCAACTAACGTAGCAGAATTGTACGATACTGTGTTAGTGGAAACTCCACTTGGTAATATAATTTATCGTTACCTAGAATATTTTTTAATTAATTTACTTACATGAATCACATATTTAGCTCCATATTTCAAGAATTGTCTTTCGGCAAATGATCTGGATGAATTAAACATTGAGATTATTCGTAATACGCTTTATAAGGCGTATCTTGAAGATTTTTATAGATATTGCAAAAGAATTGGTGGAGCAACGGGACAAATGATGAGTGAAATTTTAGAGGTATTTTCAACTCTATTAACTCTATGTAATAATGATTTTCTTGGCACTTCATATGTTTAGTGACATATTAAATAGATGATAATATTGTTTCATATTATTTCAGTTTGAAGCTGACCGTCGTACCATTAATATTACGATTAACTCTTTTGGCACAGAATTATCAAGGGATGATCGTGCAAAATTGTTTCCTAGTCTAGGAAGATTGTATCCTGACGGACATGCCAAGCTTGCAAGGGCGGATGAACTTGAACATGTTAAGAATGTCGTTGAGGTTTGGGTGGTATGTTAAAAATTATTAAGAATTATAAAAAATTATCATTATCCTACGTGAATGATTTATTTATTTTATGAATAATTTAGGAATACCGTCCCTTTTTTGATAATAGTCTGACATCTTTTGGTGGTGCTGCTACAAGCGAAGCAAAGACTCTTGATGACAGATTCTTTGAGCATGAAGTTCATTTGAACAAGCTTACATTCCAACAACATTTTCATTATGCAATATTTTATGCATTTTTGAAACTTAAAGAACAAGAAATTAGGAACATTGTATGGATTGCTGAATGTATTGGTCAAGGACAAAAAGAGAGGATTAGTAATTATATACCTATATTTTAATGGAGATAAATTTTTACATTTTAGTTATTACTTTCAGTGTGTAATTTAGTTTTAATAGAATGATATATCATTCAGTGGTAATTCAAATTTATTATTATTTTTTTTTTTTTTTTGTATTTTTATTTTTACAAGATTAGTAGTAGTAGTATTTTCTATATTTTGATATTTTAAATAAACGAAATCTCTAATTACGCAGTAAAACGTATACGCGTGACGAATAATGATAAAATAAAAAAAAAAAAAACTGTTCAAGACGTCGCCCCCCGAAGGGATTGACATTGCCTTAACACTAAATGTGTTGATGAGGGGATAACCCCAAACTCCGTCCTTATCGAGGGGATTGCCAACTATCTCTCCTTTCTTATCAACACAACCTTATACCCGTCACTAAATTTATATACCCCTAAAAATTAAACTTTCAAAAAATTATGGGATTAATGATTAATATCACTATATATAAAAAAAAAAAAAAAAAAAAAAATTTATCAATACAATGTCTAAATTATATTCACGTCTTCCACGTTATATACAAAGTTCTCAAGTGGCAAAAAATGAAGTAAATTTTTGATTCCTTTGTACTTTGGAGATATTATATAAAAAATTTAATAAATGAAAACAATATTAGAAACAACCGCCAGTTTCCGAGACCACGAGAAAATTTGTCCCAAATTTCGTTATGGGATCAATAGAGACTACCACTAAGGATCCTTCAAAGATTTTTGCGACCAAAGTAAAGGACAAGGTGTTGCTTCTTGATAATCCGTTAAAAAGCTCCAATGAGAAGAAGAAAAGAATGCTGCTGAAGAAGAAATACAAAGTGATGAGTGCGAAAGAAAAGAAACAAACCAAGATTTATGAAATTCCAAAAGAATGTCATAAGTAAGATCTTATAATTTTTAAGAAAGTTAACATTTGTACTTATTAATTTTTTTATATGCCCTTTTAGATATGAACTCTTTATTCCTTTACATGAGCTTTGGCTTCAATACATTGAAGAGCTATATGGGAAATCAAATCCTATCGTTTTTGCTCAAAAATTATTGAGAGCTGATTTTCACGGAGCAATTCTTACAGGTCAAAGAAAAAAAAAGATAAATAAACAAATAATATGATTAATATCATGATAATATAACTAACAATATTTTTCATTGTTTTTTTAGTCTCTAAATCAAAATGTGCATCTTATGTTGGAGTTACAGGAATTGTTATCCAAGAAACAGAGAATATGTTCAAGTTAATTACAAAAGGTGATAGCTTGAAATGTATCCCGAAAGGGCATAGTATTTTCACATTTCAGCTTCGTGATCATATGTATATTTTGTACGGTGACCAATTTCGATACAGGTCAGCATCTAGAGTTACAAAAAAATTCAAGAATAAACCGTCGATAGATTTATGAATTTAAATTTTGTTTTATTTTATTTTATATCACTTTGATGCTTTATCCATTTCCAATACAGGGGCCAATACATTATTTTTATTGGTCTCCACTATTTTACCATTCATAATCATTTCTTCTAAAATTACATGCACCTTTTCAATATTAAACATGATATCTAGTTCACACTATAATTAAGATTGATGAGAAATTTGAAAAATTATAAATTAATCAAAAAAGAAAATCAAAATAAATAAAATTTGATCATACCACATTATCAAAATATGTATTCAATATTTCTTTTGATATAAATGATAAATACATAATATACATAAATAATATACATATATATTAATGGTCATTTTGTTTTAACTTACCCACATATGCTTGAACGAGCTCAAGGATGGCAAGATGGTTCTCCTCTTCTTCAAAACCGATTACAAAAAATAATGAAGCATATCGCCTAAATGCTACAAAATATTTTGAATGATATAACTATCAATTGATTATAATAAATTTTTTTATTACTAACCTAATTTGTACCTTCTGAATTCAAATATAGAGCACTTGAAATGTATTAGATATTTGGTTAACCATTGAAATACAAATTCATAATTATTATTATTATTTTTTTTTTAAAAAAAAAACTCGATTCACACCTGAGAATCACCCCTTTTTAAGCATTTTCGTAAAATATCTGCTTCCATAAGAACCCTTTCTTCTGGTTGTAATTTCGTATTATAATATCTAGAAAAACGAGTTTGTCCTTGTTTATTGATTAAAAGAAAAAATTTCAACATGTTCCAAGGTTAACTATCAAATATGTGAATTGTCAAAATATGACAAAGTGGCTTAGTATTACAACACATTTCCGCATATCATCCGCTCGTGACAATTAAAATCAGAATTTTCTTAAAACTGCATTTTTATTTTATGTAGTTATTATTTTATTGATAATAAAGAAATTGTGAATAGTCTATTATTTAATAATTGCTAAGGTGTTTATCTTTGAGGTAATCTGTTGCTAGGATTAGATGCCGTATTAAAATGAATTCTTCTTGATCCTTTAAAATACAATTAGCGATTAGTGTATCTTATCTGAAGGATAGCATGAATACCAAATTAATTTACCTTTCTGTTGTTGGAAAACATAATTTTCATTCCCGTCCATCTTTCTTCCTGCACCTGTCATTGACCCAACTGGATAATCTTGTCGAAGCACGTATGGATCACGATAACGATTTTCTTCAATGTTCCATGTACGATTATTAAATATACCATTTTCACCATATAACCCAGGTTGCTTAATTCACAATAATAATAATTAATATTTATCAAATAAATAAATAGAAGATTTAGGAGAATTTGGATGTCCTATTTTTCCAGAAGATAAATCTCTCTGTGAAGAATGTCAAAAGAAACATAACTTACATTAGGAACTCCACCTTGTCTTGAACCACTAACCGGATTGTTAGCTCCAGCGTTTGTAAATGAATTCCCAGTACGGTTTTGGACTGGTTGTTGCATCGTCGGAACCAATGTTCTACGTCTTAATTTATCGTACATTCCCTGTAAGAAAAATAACGATTAACAAAAAAGATTTCTAATTAGGAAATACCGTAATTAAGCAACAGACCTGCAATTTCGAAAATTGTCTGTGTTTTTCTTGTAATTGTTCAGCTAATTCATGTGCTTTTCGTTTTTCTTGTTCCTTTTCTTTCTGTAATGCTATAATAATAAATAAACAATAAATATTTAAGAAAAAAAAATTAAACGTGAATGATGCTCGTTATATATATTAATTTACCCTGAAGTTTGACTTTTAAAGCTTATAATTGAAATGAAAAAAATTTAATTTTCCATATAACATGTAAATTTAAATAATAAATATCATCTATTTATTTATTTCTTACATGTAATTTCAGATTGAGCATCTCTCAAAACTCCTTGGACTTGCTTTTCTAATTGAGAGTACTTTTCTTCCAAATTCTTGTACAACATTTCTTGAAAACAAGCCTCCTGTGTCGTTTGATATGTCCAAAATGATAAAGCTCGTGAGCAAATTTCTATGATAAGATCCGGCCGAAGACCTGAAAGAACAGACTTTAGGAATATTACTCAAAATTCTATCTTTTGATGTAAACATATTCATGTAATATAAAGACGTCATATGGTACAGATTTATAATCTTCACTTGGATTCAAATCAGTGAACACAATATCGTCACTAGTTTTAAAGATAAATAAGTTGAAAAGCATATAGTTTTTTTTTAAACCTATATATGAATAATACGAACTTTTCCGTTAGGCTTGTTTCACATGCCGGACATACCAAAGCCGAAGAAAATGCGCTGTTCGCGCAATCAACTTAAATTAACAGAATTTAGTAATTCATCATCTGCAAAGAAAAGCAGCATATTGAAGTTTACCGCAAAAAATATCTAAAAGGAAATAAATTAATATTGAGCAATGATAATGAACATATTTATTCACAACATTAAATTAAATACTCTACGCGAACAAGTCGTCACACACGCGCGACCTTCGGTATTTAGAACTTTACGACATTGTACGAAATTGCACCTTAATTCTAAATCCATGATATTGCAAATTTGTCAAATATTACTTACGAGAAGAGATCAAGAATCAAGTTACAGAAATTTATGTGGTTTTAAATTAAACTTTTATTTATGCTTATGTAATTTACAAAATGAATACAATTTTGCTCTTAATTCCGTTTCCTAGTTAAGAATTCTGTTAAATGCAACTTGTTTAACATTGCCTCCAGTTCGAAAGAACTTGTACAAACTATAAATATCCCCTGAAATGTCCCATATAAAATTACTTTAAACTTTCTCTATGAAAAATTGTCTCTTCACAATCAATTATTTAAATATTATATTCATATATCTGAGAAAAATTGTCTCCTGGAAAATAAAAATAAGTACTGTATAATAAGAATAATAAATTTTGATAGATGAGGCTACCGACAAAAACTCGGTTTTTATCTCGACTTTTTTATTTAATTAAAAATTGGTGTAACGATAAATTTACTAACCCTAGACCTCATAGGAGGACTTTCACGTGATTGGCCGATCGATTTCAATTGAATTTATACAGTTTAAAGTACTTTTAAGATTTTGATAATCTACATAGTAAAATAAGTTAAAATTTTATTTTCAGCTCCGAAACAACTTTAAACTCTCTATGTAAAAGAATCGAAAACCCGGAGGACTTTACTTAGAAGACAAAATATGACTATTACTTGATCATGTGTAATTACTATATGGGAGGGTTTCTAGGAAAATCAGGTTCCGAGAAATTTTTGACTAAAATTAAGAGCTTAATACATTTTAATCTAATAACATCAAAAACTAAAATGCAATAAAAATCTCAATTTTGCTAAAAAATTCCCAGAACCTGATTTTCTAGCAATCAACCCATATGTCAAAGATGGTTGACTAATTGGAGAAAGGTAACTGGGTTTATTATTACCAAAGGTCAAGCTAACCAGCTTATGTTCATTTAAGTGATACAATATGCTTGAATTGTTATAATGGAATTGTAACAAGAAGTTCAGCTAAATTCTAACAACATTCTCAAGCAAGTATTATTTATGCTCATTTGGAATAATCTCAACCTCTGCCACCATCACAACTATCACCACCCTTACCCTCTATTTTGTCTCTCTTCAAAGCAGTAGAAATAATAATTAATATCTTATAAAATCATGAAAATAGAAAAAAATGCTAACATTATACTCATTTGATGAATTTTACAAATTTATAGAAAAAAAGAATGCAATTTTGAAGTCCTTTTTTGATGAATTATACTTATTATCTAATCTTTCTTCAAAAAATAGAGATTTACAAAAATGAGCAAAAAAAACAGCTTTTATTTGTATGCTATATTCTCTGTGAAATTCAAAACAAGTTCATTAATGATGCTAAAAAGGACTGGCAATGTATCTAGATTCTACAGGTATTTCTGATATTTTTATAGATATCTTTATGAATTTAGGTATAATTATAACATCTAATATAGTTTCTCAGTATAAGATAATTATATCTGAAAATATGCTAAGACTATCAATTTAGTACTTACTAAATATATGAAGAATACAATAGTACTAAATATTGACAATTGCTACAGCATTCATATGAAATAAATGTCAAATATAACTATTACATCAACTGCTATTTATTTGACAACAATTTTAATGAATCTAATTATGATGTAACATGTAATTTTAAAATGAATACAGTCAACTCTTGATATAGCGAACTCTTGATATAATGAATTTTTTGAACAAATATAATAAAAATACTCTTGTTATAGTGAATTGGCCAATCAAATCTCTTAAAATCTTCACTATAGCCTTATAGCGAAGTTGAGGTCTAGGACATAGAGTTCGTTATAACAAGAGTTGACTGTATACATAACCCTATTTTGGTTGATGTCAACTTAATTAAAATTAATATAAAAATAAGTTTATGAGTCTTTGTGATCTTTTGCATAACTAATGTTAAGGATTTCATATAATTGATAATGATATAAGATTAGAGAAGCTAACTGTATATAGTTATGATATTAGGTTAAAGGAAAAATAAAATACTTATTCAATAAAGGATATTATTCTTATAAATTTATAAGAAAATGACCTTCATTCTTTAAATGCATATACAGTCAACCCTCTCTAAATACATCCTCTCTAAATATACACACTATATATTTTCTCTCTAAATGCACGCTCTTATTCAGTCCTAAGCATATAGAATTCATATAAAAATTTTCTCTTTAAATGCATACCCTCTTTAAATGCACATTTTTTAAAATTTTTATTATAGTCCTAAGGGGTGCATTTAAAGAGGGTTGACTGTATTAAACTATTAATATTATTATAAATGTTCTATTTATACAGCAGTATATTTAGTAAGAAAATATCTTTTTTTTGACTTTTAATAATGTAGTACTGCCACGAGTTTTATTAAAAAGGTTTATCATTTTAAATATAACACTAATTATTAAAGTAAAAAGTAAGATAACAAATAAAAAATGTAAACTAAAATCATAGCTACCATTCGTAATTCTATTTCAAGCCTGTTTGAGTTGATTAATCACCAGCAATTCTCTTTAAGAAGTTCACTAAAACCATTTCTAATGAGTGACCTATTAACGAAGAAAGCAAGTAAAATTATCAATATCACAATGCTTTTCTTTTAACTAATCACTAATCTTCTAACTAATAAAATATTTAACACCCTTTAGAACGAACGAATTTGAGATTAGTTTCTGAAAAAAGAAAGGTTAAAAAAGACAACTAATTTCAACAAGTTCCTAGCTAAAATACCTGGTTAGTTTCTAATTACAGCGATCTTCTATAACAAAAGTGCCCAAAACATTAAGTTCTATCAAAAGCTCTTCAGTATTCTCAAACTCCCAAGTATCAAAACACTCAGTCATAAGATATCAGAAAAATTCCACTAGGATTGGCAGACTCTTATAATGTCATAGATCTTTAAAGAAATGTTATTGTTTAGAAAGGTAATTGGATAGTCGTCACTTGAAATTTATTTATACCTAAAGTTGTATCAATCATGATTATCATTTTAGATACTCCTTGATGCCACTTTTTGTAGGTAAAAAAGAAAAAGAAAAATAAACGAGAAAAATATTTGAGAGAAGTGGTAAAAAAAATATTTTAACAAAAAAATACCACTGTTTGAACTAATAACAAAATCTTTTTTAGTTGAAGATATGGAAAATAAAAAAAGAAAAATTTTTAAAAGAGGAGTTTTATTTTTGTTCGTAAGCTAAGCTGTGATCACATTTTTGTTATACAATAGTAAGGAAATATCATCTCATTATAACTGATTAGCCTAGACAGATTTATCTTAGAATAGCTATTTCACGCTATTTATGTTATCATGATTTATCAAATATTACTGATACTAAATAATCACAATTGGTTTTTCTTCAGTATTAACTAATGCTCTGAATGTTTCAGTTCAGTTTAGATTAAAGACTAATCTGAAGCTGAATTGAAAATTTCAGTTTGGTTCAGTTCAGATTATAAATATTAAAAATGCTAATCTGAAATTAAACTGAACTGTAAACTGATAAAAATCTGAACTGAACTGAAAATTTTAGATTAATCTGAAAGTTCAGTTTGATATATTCAATTCTTGAAGGAAACCTAATTTGCGATTCTCTTAAGAATTTCACAATTATTCTGCAATTCTCTTAGAATTTTACAAGTAATTTGCGATTCTCTTAAGAGTTTTACAATTATTTTGCGATTTTCTTGAAGTTTTGCAAGTAATTTGCAATTCTCTTAAGAGTTTTACAATTACTTTATAATTTTCTTAGAGTTTCGTAATTACTTTATGATTCCCTTGAAGTTTTTTAATTACTTTGCGATTCCCTTGGAGTTTCACAAATACTTTATGATTCTCTTAAGAGTTTCATAATTAATTTGTGATTCCTTTAGAGTTTTGCAATTACTTTGTGATTCTCTTAAGAATTCTGCAATTCTCTTAGAGTTTCGCAAGTAATTTGCAATTCTCTTAAGAGTTTTGCAATTACTTTACGATTCTTTTAAAATTTTGCAAATAATTTGTGATTTCTTTAGAGTTTTACAAGTATTTCACAATTTTTTAATTCTCAGAATTTCATGATCTTTTTTTATAATTCTTTTAGAATTCTCTTTTTTAATTACTAATTCTTTATGAATCCATTATTTTTTTTAACTTTTATTTAATTTTAATAATATTTATTTTATTATGATAATTTAAAATTAAAAATTATATATATTATTTAACATTTATAAAAACAAATAAGTTTTATAAGATAATAATAAAATTAATAAAAATATGATTCACTAACTTTTTATATACATACAAATTTTAATAGTTTCTAATTTTAAGCTATATCTTCTATGTGAAATTAAATCTATTCTACTAGAAAATGCTTTTTCAATTGAAACATTTGTACCTATTTATTATAATAAGATATTAAATTCAAAATAATTTTTATATTTAAATATTAACTTATAATGACATATCAGAAATTGCTAAATAATCTTTTGCTATTTTTGATAAATTTGGAAATTCTGCTTCGTATGATTATAAATTAAATTAAAAAATTAAATTGATTCATTATATAATTAAATAATAATATAATATAACTTTAAATTTTACCTTCTAAAATATTAAAACATTAGCATTAAGGACTGATGTATTGTTTAAATATGTATCTAATTTATCACTTTTAATTAGTTTCTTTTTTAAATATATAGGAACGGTCAATAAAAAAGGAGAAAATTCACTTTTTTAATCAAAATTTTTTTATTAGTTTACTTTGCTGATTATGGTCATATGAATAAAACTAGTTTAATAACTAAAATTACTTAAAATTTGTAGAGTTCTTCCTTTTCTATTGACTGTCTCTCATATGTATCATATATTCATCATTCTATAATTTTTTAATTTATTGTTTATATGTTTGTATATATTTAAATTCAAATTTATTATCTATATAATAATCTAATTTAAATTTTGAATTCATAACTATTTAATCAATATAATAAAATTATTAATATTAATATTTTATAATAAAAATAAATTAGATAAACTTATACATATTTGTTAAAATTACATAAACAAGTCTATCAGATGTTAGGTAATATTACTTTAATTTAGTTTTAGCATTATTAGCAGCATCAATAATATTATTTGATTGAGCTGTATCAATAAAATCTTTAATTATATCAATTAAATAATTATAAATTAGAACTATTTGATTAAGTGTTAGTTTACTTATTTCACTCATTTCAAGAGTAGCTAATTTAAAATACTAAAATATTAATTAATATTAAATATATATTTTAAATTAAATAATAATTATTATAATATAAATATATACCTTTAGTAAATTTTTAATTTTCTCAATTTTATTCCATTTATCATTAGATAATAAAAATTCTGTTAATTCCTCATTTATTGATGTTATACTATATAATGACTAATAAAAAATATTATTAAAATAAAATAAAAATAAAATAATTATAATTTATAACTTATCTTATATAGTATTAATGCTCTTTCAATCATTTCTTAAATTAAATTTCAATATGTTTTAATATTTAGAATTAATTGAAGACTTCTAATTTTTAAAGCAATTCATTAATAATTAAGTTTTTTATGCCTTTAAAATGATGCACAAATTTTAACTACTAAGTTTCTTAACTAAAATTATAATAATAAATTAAAATAAAAAATAAAATTTTATACCTTTTCAATTACTCCCATATTTTGATAATTTTTTACATTTTCTTCTTTTTCTGATCCAATTCCTTTAATATTAAAAAAGCTTCTTGAGTAGCTAATAATATGAGCTAAACATTATATATTTGATCTTTAGAATTAAAAATTATATTATTATTCAAAAAATAACTTTCTAAATAAGTGAATGCAGTATTTATATTATATACATTATCAGATATAATGCTTAATATCTATTAAAAATTTTATTTGTTAATTAAAATATACTTATTTTTTATTAATATAAATAAATTAAAAATTTACCTTTTATAATATTTCAATTCTTTTAAGATTTTTCATCAGAATGAGATTCTTCAAAATAATAAAAATTAAGAAGGATTTATTTAAGTTCTCAATCTTTTGTAATCCAATAATTAAGAGTAAATAATATTTTATCTGATACTTCTTGTAATTATTTTTTAATATTAATTTTTTCTTTATTATATGCTTTCATAATATTATTATACATAATATTAGTCAGTGTTGACATATGACTTATATGACTTACATAACTTATTATAAGTCATTTATCATTTAAATAGGTCTATGACTTATGATTTTATCATATATTTCTTAATTTAGGCTGGTATTATATTTTAGCCAAAATTATTAATAAAAATTATTTTCATAAAAGGAAATTTAGTTACACAAATTCTTAAAATAATAAATTTAAGATTTTAAAAATATTACACAAGATTTATTTACCTTTATGTAACATTATACTACTATTGAATAAGGCAATTTTTATTTATAATTTTGGCCAGAATTAGTTAATCTATATGACTTTATGACTTATAATATTTAATCATATGACATATGACTATAAAGTCATAAAAATTTTATATGACTATGTCATATTGCCAATACTGGTATTAGTAGAACATATTTTGACTTCAAAATTAAATCTTTTTTATCAATATTTGAAAAAATGTATTTTTAACAATAACAAAAGATTAATTATCTATAATTATCCATTTAGTTAAATCATTTAACCAATCTTTTTATGTAAAAGTCTATTATTATAAATTATTAAATTATTAAATCATATTATTTTAATTAAATTAATAAAAATAATATACATACTAAGGAATCTTTTATATTAATATATTTATCTATTAACCCTTTAATTTTTTAAAATAAATATAAATGTTTTTTTTTAAGATGAGTTCTTAATATTAAAGTTAATCTATCTTTAGGAATTTTAAAAATTACATTTAAAAAAAATCAAATTAATTTTTATAATATTTTAATTATTATTATTAGGAAAGGGCCAGAAATTAGCTGATTTAAAAGGTGAGTAGGGAGTCAATTTTATATATTAGGTATTATGATCATGTGATATATTTAATATGAAATGATTGGTTAGCTTTTATCTTATTTATCATATCATATAATTATTATGGAGTCTAATTTATTAGTAATATTATATTCTGCCACTTCATTTTAAAATCTTTTTAAGATCTTTAAATGATGAAACAGATATTAAAGTTTTTATTCAAGTATTATATTATTGCACATTTAAACTTTCATATATTTAATTGATAAGTTTCATCTAAATGGTGAAAATTAATTTATTAGTATATAATTAACAAATTTAATAACATTATTGTGATCATTATAAAATTATATATAAGCCACAATTTCTCAAATAGAAATCAATCTAACTCTAATTAAACTTCATGAAAAATCTGTCTAACCTCTCATCACAAATTTCTTCCTAGATTTATATCTTTAGCAATATTAAAATTTAGGTTTAATGGAACAAATACACAATCTATTTCTATCTCGCCAGCTTATTTCTAAATTCTCTTCTTTTTGCAATGTCCAGAATATACATTTTGCTTATATTTATTCATGAACTTGAGGGTTAAAAAGTATTTTTCGCATATGTTATAACACAAATGTTGGTAAAGTTCTCGTAAAATTGAAGGGTAACTATTATTATACTTTAGAATTTTAAGTTTATCATGATATTGAAGAGTATGAATTGGGTTGATAAAATGACTGTTCTTTCCTTTTGTAGTTGGAAGGAAAAATCCATTATTCTCACTCAAAAGAATGGCCGCATTTAGAGCTCTGTACACCAGTCAAAAAATGGACATTAGACCTAAATTCAACCAGGTTGAATATAAGCCTAATGGTAATTTAATCTACATCAAATTAAGGTTTATAATTTTGACATGATTAGGCTGCCAATAGTCCGATATTCGAACAGAATGTTCGACTAGCATTAGTAATATATTCAAAGTAAATTAATAAGTTATTCAACCTAATTTTATTATACTTTATACATACTATTATATATAGCAATAAAATCGTTTATATTGTATTATTTAATTATAATAATTGATATATATATATATATATTATTTATTGTATATAATGAAACATTAATATTTGAATTAAATTCGAATAATAAAAAGCGGTTAATAATTGTCATAATAATAATTTTCGTTTAATTCAGTTAATTTTCTTTTTCCTTTTCAGTCAGTTGAATAAGTTCCCTAATTTTAAACATAACATGATAATAGAAATTATTAGTTTTTAAATATAAAAATAATAAATTATTTCTTACTTGAGACGTAATCGTGAATGATTCACCCTCTTCATTGAAGTCCTCAGGTCGTATTTCGTCCATTAAAAAGTCTATTAGATAATTATTACCGTCATCGTTAATATCAATTTCAGCATTAAAATTGTAGTCAATTTCATTGGTTTCATTTGTCCAGTCTGTTTCGTATAAAATTTGTTTTGCCCGGTCGCCCATTTGGATATATTTTCAGGTGCTTTATTTGAAGTAAAATATATCTTGTCATTATAGATATGTTCCTGTTGTTTCTTCATATGCTGAAATTGTTCGGATGCATAGTCTAACACGTCTTTAAGCAACGATTTTAACTATTAAAAACATAAAAATAAAAAGTGAAGTTGAATAAATATTGTCTAAATTAATATATAATATATATTATAAAATAGTATTTACCTTTTCCAAGCGCTACGAATGATTATAGACATGTAGAAAATTTTTTCTCCCTGCTGCCTTATTCGATATTCGTCTTCGCTATCTGATTGTTTGAGCGAATGTCATTCATTTTTTTGTAGAATTGATAAAACTTCATTTTTGTTGAATTTTGAAACTTTTCTTCATTTGTGTCAAACAATTTAAATGCCATTTTTATTCGTCTATTTTCTTCTGTCGAATATTATTCAGATTAATTATCAAACAACTGTATGTATAAAATAAATGAAACAAAAAGATTTTATTTAACTAAATAAATAATCACTTCAGAAAGCCGAGTGTTCACATGTAACCTTCGATTGACCTTTTCCAATGCTCTGGTCTATCGTTTTCGCAATTGATCTCTTCTGTGTTTGTAAATAGCTTTGATCCAATTCGAAAGTTGTATTACAGAAGGGTTAAAAACTCTATCTATAAGCCTCTTTAATTCCAGAATCAGTTTTTCGTAAACGGTTGTCGATTGTTCAGAGAACGTCTTTTCATAATCCAGTTGATATTTAGCTGGTATCTGACATTTCATCAGATTTTTCACCTTGGTCTATAACGAAATATCATATGCATTGTATAACAACTACAATTTGTCAAATCATAAGAAAATTCCTACTCTTGCTTCTTCAGCATTCGTTTCATTTAGTGATACTGATCTTTTGTTCATAATTAGTGGAAGAATATTTCTCAGAACTTGATATTGATAATAATGTGTCAATTCAGCCTTTAATTCATTACTCTTGATCATTAATTTGTTATTTTCATTTCCAAATTTATCGTTAAACATCTGAAACATGTTGTTATCTTCTTCAAACTGTCGAACCTGTCCTTCTAGGCCCTAATTCTTTTTACGAATTCAGTTTCTCTTTCTCATTGCTGTTGGATTTCGTTTTGTAGCTGATTATTTTCCTTTCTTAAATTCTCAATTTTCGAATTAACTGTTTAGATTATTTGATTCAATTTTTCAATTTTTATATTTAGGAGCATAGACGACGTGAAATTTGATGG